CTTTTTCAGAGTAATAATGAGGCTTTATTCCCCCACCCACAATCTCCCCTCCTACCACATAATCACAGTTCTGAGTCTTGTTTTCTTCCTGAAGCTGCTGGCTAAAAGACTCTGGAAGTGGGATTGGGAAGAAATGTTTATTTAAACCAGTGATTCTTGGCCCAGATTGCACATTAGAATCACCCAGGGAGCTTTGAAAGTCCTCATATGCAGACCACAGCCCACACAAGTAAAGTCAGAGTCCCCAGAACAGGGGCCCATGTACCAGTGGTCAAATTTCCCAGGTGTTCCTCCTGGCGACCACAGCTGAGGACTGCTTGGTGAGCATTGTCTTGGGTCAGTGTGCATATACAACTCATCCAGTCTTGGAGAGATAGATGTGAATTTCTTTCCACTTAATTGAAGAGGAATGAGGGGCAGAGGACATAAGTGGTACAGTGAGTTAACATCATGCCTGTTCCAGAAACAAGGAGATAGAAGCCCACCCCGCACGCCACGGAGGGAGACGCACCTCTGGGTCTGTGCGGGGTCATGCGGGGCCTTCTCCCAAGGGCCAAGTTTGTCCCGTTGGTAGCAGTGGCTTCTGTGAAAAGACATAGGAATTCCAGAGGGCCCCAAAGGGTTTTCATGTGCAGTCTGGGAAGGAAACGACAAGAGAAAAGGGTTCCAAACCCACTTCTGCACAGGAAAGCTCCATCCACACCCTTCCACTTCTGAATCTCTGTTTTGAATGTAAGAAGTGACAAGCTAAATGCCCAGTGAGCCCTGCACTGACTAGGAGCAAGAGGATGAGTGGGGGAGATGGTGAAGTCTAAATAAAGGCTGCGATGTAGTGGACAGCACGATGCCAAAGTTACCTTCCTCATTTTGATAAATGTGCCGTGGTCAGATGACACGCTAACTTTGGATGAAGCTGAGGGAAGGGTGCTGAGGAGCTCTGCAACGCTCTCCTCTACAGCCTTCTTATGACAGCTTAATGTCTTTAAAAAATGTAAAGGCTGAAGTTCCAGGCTACTCCCTGTCATAACATCTGAGAAGTCACACAAAGAAGCAGCCCTGTGCCCCAGTAGCTTTCAGATCCTCCAGCTGTAGAGGGCTTCCCTTATGAGAGAGACAGAGAGAGAGAGATAGAAAGAGACAGAGAGAGAGAGAGAGAGAGAGAGAGACAAAGACAGAGAAAGAGAGAGAAGGAGAGGGAGAGGGAGAGGGAGAGACAGAGGAAAACAGAGACAGAGATAGAGGCAGAGACAGAGATGACAGAGATAGAGATGATAGAGATAGAAACAGACATAGACAGATAGAAAGAGGGAGAGAGAGACAGACAGAGTGTGTGTTATGGGTGGTCTAAGTCATTGGGCAGGGCCTGAAAAAGCCCAGAGACTTTTCTTTTGAAGGACTTAGCTGGCATATCCAGCATTCCCTGCAGCTACTCCCACATGGCTTCCTGGAAGATGTGCTGGAGTCCAGGATTACAGGGTAGAGGCGGGGGAGGAAGTGATTCAACATAGGCCCTTTCTGGGCTGAGTAGAGTCCCCGACCAAATTCCTACACTGAAGTCCTAACAACCCCAGTACCTGAGAATGTAACTGCGTCCAGAGGCAAGGCCTTCAAAGAGGTGGCTGAGGTTAAATGAAGTCATACGGGGAGATCCTAATCCGTGGGCCTGTATTTGGAGATAAGGTCTTCAAAGAAGTTGTTCAATTAACAGAGGTTCAAGTCAGGGACCTAAGCCAACCTGACTGGTGCTCTCTTAAGAAAAGGAGACGAGGACATGTGGAGAGATAGCAGAGATGGACACAGAGTGGAGGCCGTGGGAAAACAGCCGCGCAGAGGCAGCCACCCGCCAGCCAGAGAGAGGGTTCTCAGGAGAAGCCAACCTAACACTAGCTTGAGCTGGGACCTTCAGCCTCCAGAACTGTAAGGACATACATTTCTTTGGCCAAAGCCATCCATTCAGCGGGACTTTATTCTGGCAGCTGGAGATGATTAAGACAACCCCTGAGAAATGGTCAGCCTGTGGGCGGTCCTGGAGGAGCGGGGAGAGGGAGTGGGGGTGGGAAGCAGAGAGGAAGGAGGTGGGAACCCTGACCTAAAGAAGAGGCAGAGAAAGCAGGAAGAGAAGAGAAGGAGAGGAAGAGGCCACCTGACCTTGCGTCCACCCAGCGCTGGCCCTACAGGTTGACCAAAATGGAAAACCGCCTAATGCTAGTAGCAGTTGCCCCGAGGGCCCCCAGCCAGCCTGCCCCTACCTCTGAGTCATGGTCCCCCCAGTGCCAGGAGGCTCCAGTCCTTTCCCCAGCCTTCCAGGGCGGGCCGTGTGCTGTGTCCACCACAAACACTTCCACCATCACCTCTGCTGTCACCCCGCCCCTCGAGTTCCCTGTGTGACTTGAGCTGCCTGACTCCCCAGACCTCTGATTTCTTGTCTCTAAAACCCTGGATTTCTGAGTTTTCAGGAAGATCTCAAAAGTATAGATGTCAGTAGAGCAGCTAAGGGGTCCAAGCCAGGGGCCTTTTGTCACTATTAATGCCACTCCTGGTGGCTGGCTGCAGGCGTGGCTGCCAGGAAACAGCGATAACTGCACCTACCTTGCTCTATGAGGTTGCTGGGGGGCAGGAGCGCAGTCATACTGATCCTACCCAGATGCAGCTGGGAGAGGAGCAGCCCTTGGCTGGTGCCTGGAACCCCACTGACTACACCTACTGGCCCCTTTCCATGCCCCTGAAGTCAAGGGACTTCTGTTTCTAGTGAGGCTCCCAGGGGTACCAATCATGAGAAGGGTTTGAGCCCTGAGAATCAGAGAACAGAATCTGGTCCCCTAGGAGGATGGGTCATGGGACGCCACCCCACAGGAGGCCACAGGAGACAAAGCTGGAATTAGGACCACCGAACAGAGAAACTGACACGGTGCTGCTGATGGGGAGTGGGAACGCGACGATGTCCTGAGTGTGCAGCCAGAAAGCCAGATTGATGGAGACCACTAGGAAGCAGACCTGAGCAGGACTTAAATTAACCAAATGGCTTTTCATTTTCACTTGTGAATCTGTCCAAGGCCCAGGCTCCTTATCTGGAAATGGCAGACTCATAGTAAGTGAACCTCTGTGAGTCACTAATCCCTACTAGAACCTGTAGTGGTGATGAAGCCAGAAAGCCTCAAAGGACAAGACAAGATCAGAGTCAAGGACACCTGGATCAGATCTCAACTAGATAAAGATTGTAGCCTCAGGCATCTCATTCCTGGGTGGATTAACTTAATACCTTACTTGGAGAAATCCTTGAGTGGTTCTGCCCTTCTTGAGTACTCCCCTCCCTTCTGCTGATAACCAAATAAATATGGGCCACCCAGAGAAGGTCTTGGTCTTATCCCTGAAAGAATTAAGAATTATATGAGAGGACTTTGATCCTCCTGGAGCCCTGAAATCATTCCATTTGCCTTTTTTATTTAGCCTTTGCCATACACTCATTCAGAAGATTGTGGACTTGATCAGCCCACAATAACTAAGGGATATTATTAACCCCATACCAGATAACCTGAACATGAATCTCAAGGATGCAAGTCATGTGCCAACACTTGACCATGCCCGTGCTAAGCACAGGGCTATATTGGCTATTCAAAAGCCACGTACCCCTAAGGTGGCTCCCATGAAGACGCTGCAAGCCAAAGCCCATTTTGTACATAAGGAAAACTGAGTACATGGGACAGAGAGTGATTTCTTCATGCGAAGTGGAGGCACTGAGATGGAGAACCAAGCCCGATGGACTCCCAAATCTAAGCTGCACCTGTAAAACATTAAATTCTTCATTACATGGGGCAAGTCTGAGCCAAGGTCTTGACCTTGGGCAGCTGAGCAGGACTGGGCCAGGCAGTGACCCTCCTCCTCCAGGCCAGCTGCCTAAAGCTCCGGATGCCAGGCTGTAGGGGTCCAGGAGAGGGGGGAGATGAGAAACGGCAGGTGGCCACTTGCGGGATGTTGGACCCTGGTGACGGACGAAGTGACAAACACCAAGACAATGCGACAGTGTCTACAGTAATTGCTTCCACCACACTGCATGCTGAGCTGCAACATGACCAACAGGGCTGCAGGAGGCACAGCAAGTGGGGAAATTGTTTAACGCTGAAAAGTACTGTGCAGGGAATAGCGGTGTTCTGTGGTAATTACCTCCCGCTCATGGGAGCAGTGAGAGACCCCGGCCCAGAGCCGGAGCTGGGAAGGCCAGAGAGCAGTGACTCCTCCCTCTTCCCTCTCCTCCCCCTCCTCTCCCTCCCCTTTCACTCCTCTTCCTTTTCCTCCCCCTTCTCTTCCTCTACTTTCTGTTCTCCTTCCTCTTCCTTCTCCACTCTGTCACTTCCAGAAGGCTGGACAGCGCTGAGCCTCTGCCTCTTTTGAGGCTCCCGACATATTTAAAATGAAAAGAATACCCAAATAATCACCCAAGAGTCACAGCACATCTCAAGTGAACACATTAACATTTTAACACCTTCGGGGGGGAAAAAGGCAAAGCAATATAATTATACTTTTCATAAGATAATTACAGGAGTTCTGAAATATTATCAATTTTGTGTTCCCTGTGGGCAGTGAGGTCCAGAAATGGGACATAAATTTAAAGTTTGAGAATAAATGACTTCTTTCAAGCCTGGTAGTGGATCTCTGAATACAGCAGTGTGTAAATCTTATTTGGACCTGATGCCGGAAGCTTAAATTGTATTTCTTCAACAAAAATATGTACGTTGTGTGTATTACAGGCACACATACCGGCACTTCTGCACCAGCTAGAGCACATAAATAGTAATGCTACAGTCTTAAAATAACCTTAGGAGAAAGTATTGCGGTCACACACTCCCCGCAACTCTCCAGATGAGGAAGTGAAGGAGAAAAGGACTAGTGCATCCTTGAGGCCCGAGGGGAGGTGAGGTGGGGACGCACATGGGCCTTCCGACCTCCTCCCTCCACCTATAATGACACCGTAGCTGCACAGGTCTAGACCGTGCCCCCAAAGAATGGCGGCGTCACTTCCGCCTCAGCAACAGCAGCAAACGCTGGAATCCTTCCCCTCCTGGGCTGACGCTGCCAGCTGCAACCTGGAGCAGCCCACTGAACTGCTCTCAGGGAAGGTGACTCTCAGGCTGTGCAACCCCTCGCTAGCTCCTGGCTATGCGGCTTCCAAGGGGCCTGGCAGACAGAGCCATGGTCACGATCCTGTCACCCCTGGGATGGCCCCATGGATGACAGCCCTGATGAGATAATTAGGCTGCGATGGACTCCAGCTCAGCCCCCCCCAGAGGAGCTCTACTCACCCCAAAAGCTTCCTCTAGAGGCCCAGTCAAATGTCCTCCTCCCTGAGCTCTGACTCCCAAGTCAGGCCTGTCTCAGCACTCTGTTTTACCTTCCTCAGGACACACTGAGATCCTACATTGCCCCAAGTGTTCCCCATGTACCTCACTGTTCATTCATTTTCTGTCTCTGACCATCAGCAATTAGGCTAAAGAGAGAGAGAGAGAAGAGAAAGAAAGAGAGAGAGAAAGAAAAGAAAGAATGGGGTAGAGAGAGGAAGGAAGAAAAACTAGAAGGAAGGAAAGGAGGGAGATAGGAAAGAAGAAAGGAAGGAAGGAAGGGAGGAAGGAAGGAAGGAAGTGGGGAGGGAGGGCGGGAGGGAGGAAGGAGGAAGGGAGGGAAGAATACTACCCCCCTCTCCTCTAGTGGCTGCACATAGTAGGTATGCAGGTATTTGTGACTGAATGTGGACTCTGGAGAGGAGAGATGGTGGTTCTATAAGTTCACATTCCATATGTAAGCTTTCCAACACGTTAAAGTCACCATGTTGGCACAGCAGTTATTAGGACTAAGGTGAAAAGATCTTAGAGCAACCAGTATGGGAATGGGCAGGTCTGTTGGACACAAGAGTCCACAGAGAAACGTGGGTGGTGAGGCCACGAGAAAGCAGTGAAATGGAGTAAATGCTCTGGGTGACCGCTGACCCCGCCCCTGGCTCTGCCCACCCCTGTCTCTCACACAGACCCACACCCGGCTCTGCCGTTCCAGCGGCTGTGGGGAGACAGGAGCTGAGAGGATGGACTCGTTTGCACTGTCCTGGGAAGAGGCGGAGAGGGCGCATCTGACATCTGCTGTCCGCCAGGCGCTCGGGTTTAGCGCTCTGCGCCTTCAGTACTGGGTTTTGGTCTCCACTGCAGTTGTAACCCCCTCTGCAGAGATGATGAAAGGGAGCTCGGAGAAGCCTCAGGGCTTTGCTCGCTCACACGCAGTCTGGGACTCCGGGGGAGCTGCCCAGGGCTCCCTCGCCCTGCCCTGCAGAGGGGGAAGGAGCCCCATCGCCCTCCTTCATATATGGAGGACAGATGTGCTTCCCATCACACTGTACCAAGTTACCACATGTGGTGACGTGGTACAGTTGGATTATTTTCTAGCTGCGGAGGTCAGAAATCCTAAAATCAAGTGGCCTACCTTCCTACAGGACTGCTAGGAGGGATCTGTCTCCTCAGTTTTGAAGCTTTTATGGGCTGTCTGTCTTCCTTACCTCCTCCTTCATTCTTACTTTGTCTCTCTGTCTCTCCCTCCCTCTCTCTCTCTCTCTTTCAATATCTATCTATCTCTCTCTGATCTTCATCTCTGCCTCTCCTGTCTCCCTCTTGTAAGGACCCTTGTGATCATAGGTAATCCAGGATGATCTCCCCTTGTCAGAACCCTAATTTCATTCCATTTGCAAAGTCTCCTTTGTTAGCAGTGTTAACTGATGTATTCACAAGACCCCAAACCTAAAATGTGCCCATCTTTGGGGGACTATTTATCTGTCCATGACAAACGCTGTAAACATCATCACCTGATTCCATCTCAGTAGGGGATAGAGACATGGAACTAAACTTAAGTCCTGAAGTATTAAAAAAAAAAAAAAAAAGTATCTATACCAAAGAGAAGCCAGGTGAAGTTCAGATGCAGGGAGAAGACAGGGCCACTTAACTGACACTGGGACTCTTGCAGAGAGAGTGCAAAGCTACAAGTCGCTGGTCTAGGCCCTCTCTCCATGTCAACTTATTGCATTGTCAAAATAGTGCTATGAGCTGAGTACTCTTGTTACCCAGCTTCAGAGGTGAGTAAACTGAGGCAAAAGCAGCCAAGAGACTTGCCAGGTACAGCTGGGAAGGAGTGGAGGTGAGATTTGAACCCAGGCCCAGATTTTGACCCCTACACCTTGGAGCTGGGCCTGAACACTTGTCAACTGTTACCCACAAGCAATGTTTATCTTAGCAAAGCCCTTCTTGGAAAACACAGCTCTGTCTAGTGAGGCTGATCACGGGCCAGGCTATGGGGCCAGGCTAAATGCTTCACGTGCATTACTTCACCACATCCTTCCCCGTCGTCCTGGACCCCTCAGCCCTTGTGACGCAGAGTTGACAGAGGACCAGAGGGTGTAATGAAAGAGAAAGTCTCCTACTTCAAAACTCCACCTGGCCTGGTGCTGTGGCACATACCTATAATCCCAGCACTCCAGAAGGCTGAGGCAGGAGGAGCACAAGTTCAAGCCCATCCTAGGCACCTCAGTGATTTAGTGAGACTGTCACAAAGGTAAAATATTTTTAGAAGGCTGAGGACACAGCTCAGTGAGATGACTTTAGGCTTGACCCCCAATACTGCAAAAATAAAATCCTCAGCCTGTTATCACCGCTGCCCCCTGTGACCCAGCCACTTGCTAAGCATCAAAACAGGCCTCTCGGCCTCCCCCAGAGCTCTCTTTGCCTTTCAGCAGTCCCAGAGGGGGCGGGGACCCCATGTCAATAATGTATGACATCCACGAGATAAAGTGTGTCTGTAAATGCTGCCGACAGCAGCTCCTCGGCTGTGCTGAGGTTTTATGTGTCTCAGCTCCGACGAAGGCAGCTCCTGCAGTACCCGGGCCAGTGTGAGGACGTGACCCTCAAAGGTCACAGCAGTCTCCAGGGAGAGGACTGGTGGTGCAGAAGGTGGGGCTGGGGTCCGGGGACACGGTGACAGCCAGCAGTCTCCCTTCCTGTCCCACCCCAGGTCAGCCAAGCCTGACACTGTCTGTGTCAGTTTACATCCTGGTCCCTTCACCCTCCAGGAACTGAAAAGTCTGCAGACAGGGGCTTTAGCCTGGAGGTTTAGGGGTCCCTGGGAGGCTAAATCAGGGTCACTGGCCTTTCAGAGAGAAAGTTCTAACCCAGATCTTCCTTTCTTCCTTCACTCACCAAAATGCACCAGCACCCACACATTGCCAGGCTTCGCCCCAAGTATAGGCAATGAACAGCCACCGAGCTGATGTCCACCCCTTCCAGGGCGCGCCAGAGGTGGGGCGCACAGTGCAAGAACCTTCACAGCAATCTTCAGATGAAGCAATTCGGGAGCAGAGACTGGGTATTCCGTGCCAGCTCACACAGTTTATGAACCACAGAGCTGCCTTCTAAACCCCTTAGTCCTCCCAGCCCTCCGTCTTTGCTTTCAAAGGTTTTAAAGATGTGGAGCCCATCTGATGACTGGGAGCCACATTTGGAAGTCAGAAAAGTAATTTTAAAATAAATCTCAGGAAGGAATTCCCCGCAAAGGAGACATGAGCAGAGTCCAGGTTCTGGCACATAGTAGGAGCCAGGGAGGAAGGTTAGGTGGGAGAGAGGAGACAACAGAGAGAGGCTTTTAATTTTAAAAGTGATCATGTTTCTCTGCTGAAAGAGACAGTGAGGCTGGCAGTTTTATTGTTCAATTGTTTCGTATAGATTTTGAATAAAAAATAAATTGGCTTCTTTTAAAGGGAACAGTCCGAGCGCCAGTGGGAATGGCGGTGAATCATGTGTGACCGCCCTTGGCTTTCTTCCTGGCCTTGAGAACGCTCTGTCTGCAGCCAGCAAGGCTCTCAGCAGCTCTGGAGGAGGTGGGGATGGACCCCTCATTCACCCCGCTCCCCACACCTCCACCCCAGGCCTGGTCCTGGCACCCTGCAGGAGGAATACAGCGCTAGGGGGATTTTTCTACCCTCTGATGCTCCTATTTCAATTACTGTCTTGAACTGCGGGGCCTGTTGTGCGGTGCCCTCTCTGCCTGCTGATTGTCCCTGGAACCTGACACCTGTGCTTCCCATTTGCTCTGGCGTCTTGGTCTCCAGATCTGTCAAATGGGCTGTAATAAAGCCTCACGCCCAGGACTACTGTGAGAATTAAATGAGATGTGGTATGAAGGATTTACCTGCCTTGAAAAAGGGACTCCATGTCACATCTACATAACAGGATGTCATGGCTTTCAGTGAAAGCAGACATCTTCACCAAGCAGAGAGAGAAAAAGGAGAAGTAAGTAGGGGAGACCCAGACCACCCAGGAAACATTGAAAGTGTATGGCCGCTATTCAAATACCTTCTCGGGGAAGCTATTTCCGTACAGATCCATTTATATAGCCCCAAGAGACAGTAAGGGCTAGAAGGGAAAATATAGAACTCAGGATATTTTATTTGTACTAAAAACAAACCAGTTTCAAATGGTTTAATCAATTACCAAGAATTAATTAGCACATGTAACCTTCAAATCCAGCTTCAAGCATAGCGGTATCCAGCTACCAAAAAATGGCATCGGGAACCCAGGTCTCTGCACTGCTTCATTGCTCAAAATGTGGCTTCTAAATGTAGTTTATAGAATCCTCAGGCTTTCTTTCTAGCTGCTCAGGACCCCAATGGTATAGAAAACCTCTTTTCCAATAGGTCCAGCAAAAGACCCATTGCTCATTCTCATTGGGCAAACTCGGGTCACATGTCTGTCCTTTAACCAATCACTGCAGCTGGGGAGAGAGGGATATGTTTATTGGTTTGGTGAGGGTGACTCATCAACTCTTGAGACAGGGGAGATACTGCGGGCATCACTTCTATCAGATTTAGAGTAAGAAAGGAGATTCTCGAAGGAGCATCAGTGTACTGTTTCAGAGGATGGAAAAATGGCTACTGGGCAAACAATGATGACAGAGGGGCCCTGCACTCAGAAGGCTCCTCCGTTCCCATCCACCTACGCCCTCCTCTCTCTGTGCCTTGGACACAACTCCCTCCAGCACCTGCCATGTGGCTGGTGGCCCGTACAAATTATTTCTAGGCTTGCAACAGCCCCATCCAACTATAGAAATTTTTCTGATAGGCTTATGTATTTGTTAGGGTAGTTCTTGCTGATATAACCAAAAAATCCCAAAACTTCAGCGGATTACTAAAATAGAAGTCTGTTTTTCTTCCACATGCAACAGCCTGATGTGGGTGTGCCGGGTTCTAATGATACTGCATTTAAGAACTAACACTCCACGCTCTACCTTGGGTCCTCACCATCCCAGAGGACCTCGGGGTCTTCTTCACCCTGTGGGACACTCAGAAAAGTGACACAGCCAACCCCACCTACTTCTTAAAGGTCCTTCGCCAAAGGTGACCATCCGCAGGACCCCTGCAGTCGGGTTTGGTGGACACGGTTGTATGACTAGAGCTGGAGCAAAGAACCTGAGCAATGAAGTAAATAGTAGCCTCCCCATAACAGTCCTACACTATACCCAGGGGAGCTCGTATTTCCTGAACTGTAACTGGCTATCTCTGTCACAGCATAATGGTATCATTTTATTATAAGCGCTAGTCACAGGCAAATTGCCTTTTACGTTGATTTATGCTGTAGAGAGTCTCCATGAGCGAGCACCCACTGATCAGTTTCCCAGTGATCGTGGCTGTGTTCACCACCAACACATAGACTGCAGCAAAGCCAGGCACTGCCAGTCTCCAGCGGGGGAGGGGGGGGCATCCCCTCCGGTTCTAAGTGCTGGAATCCTGAGGCTTAGCCGCAGGAAACCTTCCTTGCAACGGATCTGGTCAGCAGGGCTTTCTGCTTCCCACGGCACACATGGGCTTCACTTAACCGGAGTGTCCAAAATATCCCTTCTAACAATTTGTGAAAATGAAAGCTCCCTCCACCCAGTCTGCCACTTACAAAGTCCGATAACAAGTGTCGTTGTGAGTGTGTGATCACATGGACTACACCGTGGGGCTGAAGTAAGAGCTCGTCTGCATGAAATGATTGCACAACACCTAGTGTCTCCCAAGCTTCCCTCAGTGAATAAGGTAGTGGAGATGGATCTTGGTCTGGCTCAACTTTCAGTGGCACCCAGAAATGGCAGCAGCAGGGCACAGG